AGCAGGTAATACATTTATATGTATTGCCAGCTAATAACAGGTTGTTGTGATTTTATTTTTCATGAAACATGGAGAAAGTCAATCTGCAGATGTGTGAATGAGATATCATGCCACCAATGGCAGGCACCCCTTTTTTCGGTTTCAAATAATGTACAACTGACTAGAAGCATTTTTTTTTGGCATACACAAATCAATGTTGGCACAACTCAAAAGCTGAAATATAGTAAAATGAAAACCGTTAGATAAATATTTTTTTTATATATTTGAGGCAGCAGCTTTAATAGAAGCCGCAGCCCTAACTTGAGACCTTGTTTCATGTTGAAATTGACAAGTTCGGATGCAAAGGGAATGTCTGCTATACAAGCCACACCCCAACTTTCACAAACCAAACAGCCACCACATATTTCAGAAAAAAATATACCATTTTAAATTAGGGCATAATTTTTCGAAGATTTCAATCTTTTCTGATGCCGAGATTAAAGTCTAATTTAGGTTTTCCATAGTCTTTGACGCTTATACGAAAGTACAGTTTGTTTATTGTGGGTAGCGTGAATGCGTTTCGACAATGAGCTGTTATTATTGTCAAAAGTGTTAAATTCTTCAATGCTCAGCTTATCTTTCGAAAACAACTAATTTCTTGATTTAAAAAAAAATCATGTAGTTTTCCCATCAAAATCAAAGCCAAACGATCGCACTACAACAATGGTAAATCTCTTCCATGTTGCTGGACTAATTAACATATTTAAATGAGCTATGGTAATATAAACACGTTGGCACCATCCAGCGTTTCGATTGGTTAATTAGCAACTTGACCTATCAGGTCAAAACATAGTTGAACTCTGGTGAACTTGTCCTTTGTTATATAATATAATTCCCTTTATCATAGTTTGTTTCAATATAAATATGCATTGTCATAATTAATTTTGAATACAAACAAGTTTTGGGGTTGAACCAACAGTGGGGAATCAGTCTACCAAATGTCATTAAACAATGTAAATCTCATACAACAACATTGGTGCCTTATTTGTTAAATTGTTTTAAGGGACATAATTTCCAGCTTTATTCAAGCAATTCAAATATTTTAGTCTAGGAATTTTACGGTAACAAGCCATAGTTAATATGATAGACGACAGACCCCACAGACAGAAACTTTCCCCTCCTATACCTTACTCATTCATGATTCGGGCAAGGTAATAAAAGGAGTTACTGGATTGCTACACTACCCCTAATGCATCCCTTGTCTAAAATTATGTACCATATTTGTGAGATGTAAGTAATCCAAGATAAGAACTACAGATTACTTACTGTCAGTTTTCAAAGCACTTGACTTCACCTCTTGTTCACCCTTGGTGTTAGTTGCTAGCACCCACACCGCATACTCAGTATCTGCTTTCAAACCCTCTATCGTATATGTATAGGATTCTGAACCATCATCTTTCATCTCAGTTGATTTAGCTTCATCCAGCGTTTCCAAGTTCTGGTATTTCACCGTGAATGTTTGAGGGCGCCCTCCATTGAATCCGGAAGTCCAGGTGACTGCTATGGTTGTGTCAGAGACACTTGTCTCAGTTATTGTGGGTTTCTCGGGTATGGCTGCAAAGTGAGAATTTAGATTATAAAACATTTTGCCATAGCATAGTGGTTGTAGCATAAGACTCATTATCAGTAGACCCAAGTTCAAACATTTTCATGGGCGAGTGTGCCACAGACAATTCCACTGGCCGAGATTCATTCACTAACAAATGCGACTTTGGGGGAACCTTGGTTAAGGTCTGCAAGTGCTAGTGTTTGATCACGCCAGGATAACACATTAAATTGCCATTTGATAGAGAGATGTCCTCACAGCCCTGTCATGAAGTCCCAAACATTAATACGACTTTTGTGGAAAAAATGCACTATGTGTCAACACTAGCACTGGCCATTTTCACATACAAAAAACAAGCAGCCTCTCTGCTGAGATAGCTCCACTGTTAGCAATGCACATTTCAATTAAAGAACTGACAATATCATTAGAAAATGAACAAATCTGAGAGAGGTCTAATCAAGGTACAAGATATGTATAGTATCAAAGCAATTGGACTTGAAGAATTTGAAAATATCACTTTTTACCAAAATTTAAAAAAATATTCATAAAAATTAGAAAATTTAAGATATCA